TTCACACATGTATCATGTTTCCGGTTAATACAATTCTAGCATGAATAGTAAACATTTATCATGATATGAGGAAATAAATAATAACTTTATTATTGCCTCTAGGGCATATTCCTTCACCGTGTGCTAGACAATTTGTTGTAATAATGCACTCGGGAATGAAAGGAGGAGCTACGTATCATCACCGATAGTCAACCCGTGATCAATAATAATGATCTAATTTAGGTTTTTTAATACATATATTTAATTGTACAAGTTTAATATTTGAATTATGAACTTAGGCCGGAAATGTCGTACTCGGACGACGAAAACCGCCCGGGGGAGTGCGACTGGTGCCACGACGACCAAGGTATGTGCGACAGGTTCATTGAGCTGGACGAAGATCGACGCTTCAGCATTAAGCTCGAGGAGACCTTCGATGTTCATACGGTACACAATGACGACAATAGTTTTTTTCGTAATTAAGCACGACTTCAACTATTTTAACGTGTATTTTTCATCTTTTCCAATTCGACTAGCTTATCCCATGCTATGCAAGACGCTATGTCTTGGAGATGATGGGTTTTGAAGACCATGAAAGTATGGAAACGAAAAAAATTCTCCTAAGGACCCATCATGGTGTGGATTTTAAAGTAAAGTTGTACAATGCTGAGAGTGTAACCCATTTTGATTGCAAAAATTGGGAAGCACTTTGCAAGATGTATGGTTTTGATGAGGGTATGTTTGTCACCATGGATCTTGGTGATCCTACAATCCAGCAAGATAATATGGGCATTTGGGTCCTTATGGATACACGTCCAATTCTTCGCCCATGTGAGCTTAACATAGTTATTAAGTAATTTATATTGTTTATTTCAAAATAGTTGACAACTTGTTTCCATTGACAGCTTATTTTCATTCTTCAAAGAATGTGCGGAAAATGGTAGACAAAACCCACTACACCGATGGCTCCGAATTAATTTATAAGGAGAAAAATCATCTGATCGCATTTTGTACTGATCTTGAGAATTACAATGTCTACAATCGAACTCCTCAACATTATGGTCAATACGTGCCACTAGTGCACGTGTTGAACTACGGTAACTACCATGGAGATACCCTAATAAGATTTTTTACTATTATGACATCCCTGCATCTTTTTAAATACTTCTAAAACTAGTACATCATTGCTAACTACGAAGTTATTACTATATTTTCAACAGATAATTCCGAATGATTCTGTGCCTCATCTGATGTATACGCACGGTCGCCTTGATGTTTTGAACATACAACCAGGTCGTCCTATGAATCTCAACTGTCCATACCGGATTTCTAAAAAAAGTGGAGACATGACAATCAAAGAATGAAAAAAATGTATGGATAGTCGTAAGGAGCTTCTTGCAAGCAAAAGGAGGCGAAGCGCAAGAATTGGAGACATGATGATCTCCATTCTTTATAATGGAGAGTCAGGGTCTATATTGTTTTATGCTATTTTACTTTAAGGGTGTTTAGGTCCTACCTGATACTGATGATCATGTGCTAAGAACAATTATGTAGGGTTTGGTTCGATGACTATGAGGATGATGATCGTATGACTTGTTATTAATAACGAGTAGAAGTTGTATGATGATGCATGATTAGTAGGACTTGTTATTATATATGATGATGTATGATGCGAGCATGCATGAGTTATTATATATCAGCGGGTGAAATGAACATAGCAGTAGCATTGGTAAACCAAGGACGAAGATATAAGAGAGGACACTTCTCTCTATTAGCTAGCTAATAACAACCTAAAATTAACCCCCAAAACCCCAAAACCAGCCACTTTTTTAAAAAAGAAAAAGAAAAACCTCAGCTCCAGCCAGCTGCTGACACGTGGAAGCCTTTTGGTCCCGGTTCATGTCATCAACCGGGACCAAAGGCCCCCTTGCCTGGGCTGCTCGCAGTGGCCACGTGGAGGCCCATCTGTCCCGGTTTGTGTTAGAACCGGGACTAAAGGGGGGAGGCATTAGTAACGACCCTTTAGTCCCGGTTCATGAACCGGGACAAAAGGGCCTCACCAACCGGGACAAATGCCCTGTTTTCTACTAGTGTTGCTACAGCAATACGAGCCTCCACAAAAAATCAGATTTTAAAAATACATTTTACTACTCCCTCCGTTCCTTGATATAAGGTGTATAGATTTTTGAGAAAAAAGTCCGAAATATAAGGTGTATTGCGTTGCACCACTCGTTTGAATAATTTTTTAAGGGATTTGATTACATTTCCTTATATCAGGCAAGCTCCTCTATTTTCTCATGTCAATTAGTCAGGTGTAATCTCGCCCAAAACTTGTGAAATTTTCCCACCACGAGCGTTCTTTAATTTCCGTGCCAAAAACTATACACCCTATATTTAGGAATGGATGGAGTAATGTTTTTGAATAACTGTTCATGCGGGAGCAAATGCTGTCGGGAGCTAAAATGCCTCCCTGGTGCAACCAGAGATCTCCGTTTGTTTCCTTTCAAAGTAGCGTCCTTTAGGACAACGTCTAGGAAAAACACCTGCAAGGAATACCTCATTGACAGCACATCGAACGGTCCAGATTGGACAGATCAAACAAATGAACGGCCAGAAACTGCCAAGTCATGAGAGGGCTAGGTTTTACTGTCCTAAAAATGATACTTGCTACCATTTCCCCTATGAGAATAAATGCACATAGGAGAAGGCACTTATTGACACCACATACACTATATAATTTCATATATGTTAAAATAAGCTATGCATTCCATGTAGGGTATTTTGGAGACCGGGCTCCATGGAGGCCTTAATTTTTAAAAGAAAAACAAAATTTAGACTTTTCAGTTAAATTTTTTTCTTAAAAAGTACACAAGGATGTAATGTGTATGTGTGTAAAATTTCAGGATGAAAATGCCTTGAACTGCGAGCTACATAAAAAACAAAATCATGGACTTTTAGGATGAGTAGCCCCGTGTTTGGTTTTTTTTTGTAGCTAAAATTGTAACATATTTCGACCTGAAAGTTTACACACATCTACACTATCTTCACTAGGTCCATGTGCATTTTTTTAAGAATTTTTTGAAACTGAAAAGTTTGAATTTTTGAAGTTTTCAAATTAAGGCCTCTATGGAGCTTGGTCTCCATTTGCCATTTTTGATGCATTCCTCTTCTAGCTAGAAAGTTCTATTGGAATATTGTTAGACCCTTCTAGCTAGAAAGTTCTTTTGGGATATTGGTTAGACTAAGTATATTTTGAACCTCTCTGATATTTCTGGGTACTAAAACATATAATCACACCATGGTATATCTTAGGCATAAGCTATTGTATATGGATTTAGTTTTGTTGTTATTTAATTAGACTTTGCTTAAATTTAGATGGTAATCATTGTAGTAAAACATCTCAAACTAAAACGTAAAACAAAAACATTCAATAAAAAGTTAATAGTTATTCAGTATTGTATTTGTAAGTGTATATAATTATTTGAATTGTATAAAACTTTGGGTGCTAACCAACATTACTAAAAGTTAAAATTTTGTAATCCCGATTGTATCAAAGAAATAAAATAGTTAAATTAGAGTCGTATGGAGCTATGAATAAGTAAAAAAAGCTTACTATAAATTAAGTATCAAGTGTATTATCATTGTTTGTATTCAATATTTGGAAAATTTTATGTGGGTTACCCACATATGATTGGCTAGTCCCAATTCATTTTAGACATAATGGATTTGCCGTTTACACGAGCATGGTAATTAAAATGCTTGTAAGCTGCCGAAATCATGTATACTTAACTATATAATATAAAATATACATGTTTTTGTTAAAAATTATGTTATTATTAATAATTACGGAAATTTTGTTTATGTAAATGTATAATGTCTCTCCCCTGGAGCCCCATGCGGCAATAAAAAATACTGTTATTTTAATAAATTTAATATTTCCTTCTCCAATAAACTCTGTGAACACTAAGTGCTAAATGAGTATTTATCTATATCAGTCGTGTTTTATTTCATATATTTGATACATTTTTTTCATTTGCAACCTACAACTAACGCAGATGAAACATTATGTGCACATTTTTCTAAAATTATCTAATACGTCTACCTATGAGTATTAATTGTGATGAAAATATGAGAACCGGCCTTATGTTACGAGGAGTCGAAGGGTAGCATGCAAATGAAGGATCGGAAAATGAGTTCAAAGAGTGCCAATGTGTTGCAAGTCCCAAAGATATGCATTTGTACGCACATTAGCTTCTCAAATGGAGGCTATATGCATGTGCATTTCATAATAGCCATTACATAATAAGATCCACGGCGAATTGATAATAAATATAATATTGTCACTGTCTCAAGTATGTAAGTGTTCATCCGAGCTTGGGCCTCGCCATGGCTGCCTTAGTTGGTGAAGAGGATGCATATGGATGCAAAGTATGCATGGTGTTGGGGACGAGGATGGGAACTATAGTCAACGACCAAATTAATAGAGAAATATAAGGACACCCCAATGTATGTGTTTAAAAATATCCTTGACTAACTAAACTCATTGTGCAACTCCATGAGCTTATGGAGCAACACCCCATGAAAAAGTTTTTTTTTCTGGGAGACATAAGCTGCATATGAAAAATCAGCAGCGACTCAAACACTTCCCTTAACTATTTAACCCCGCACTCTTCCTTAAGAGCACAAGGTGCACCAAAACCTTTGCTACATCTAACTGAAGATACTCTAACTATTTAATTTGTGACTATATATATAGAAAGACTAACTGCTTATGATGCTAGACTGAGACATGCATGCATTTTAAAAAAGGAGTAATAAGACCTTAATTAGGTACCTGACCAGCCTACTACAAAATGGAAAATTGGACTTTCAGTCATGTTAACTTGCCAATGAAGCACTAAACCCATGGTGGTCATTGGCAGCAAGTTAGTATATTCCACTGTAAAGATATGCATGTAAATGAAGAAAGAAGATATGTAGGTGCATGAAGAGGCAGACTTAATTAAGGCAGCCATGGTTTTCTAGGCTAAGGGCTTCTTCTGATCTGGTGTTGCAATAGGCATGGGAGAGACGAGCCTGTACTGATACTGTGGCGCAGGTGCCGGCAGAGCTGGAGCTGTCAGCTGAGCCAGTGTCATACCTGCATAGAGAAAATAGAACACTAATTAGGATCCTAAACCAAGTGTTATCTATTTCACCATGAACATGTGTCTAGAATCTCTAGATCAGACAAGAATTTAGTTAGGCAAATATCTAACCTCCCGCCTGGCTGCCAGTATGAGGCTCAAACGCAGCGGCGCCAATGAACTGGTGGAGGCCGGACACTGCTGTCGGGCTGCTCTCTGGCGGGGCGCCGACCGCCGCGTACTGGTACATCTGGGGGTACTGCATCATGTTGTATGCAGCCGCGGCACTCACGGCAGGTGCATATTGGTAGTAGGGGTAGAGCCCGGTTGGATCAGCCATTGCTAGCCCCGCCGTTGGCGCTGTGGTGGCGCCACCGTTGAAGACCTGGTACTGCGCCCCTCCGGCTAGCCCACCGTACGCCTGATAATAGGTCTGGCAAAATTTGGGCGCGAAGGGGCATGCATGTACATGATTAGACATGTCGTACAATAATTCACAACAAGCAAGCAAACCAGTTGATTTTTCATGGATAGGGTACGTACCAGTGGCTGATAGCTGTAGTCCGAGAAATATGGAGAGTACCTGCAATTGATTTTCAGAAGAAAGAAATCAGATAAACACATATATTTTCTCAGCAAATATTTCAAAAGAAATCATTTTCTGTTTGTTTTTTCTCAGTTCATGTATATATAGTTTGGGAAAGGCAAATGTGCATGTAAGACGGAAGGATGGGCGCTTGAGTTTGGGGTCTATGCATTTCAAAAACTCCGCAGCTGATGTGCATCATACTAAATTTCTGCACCTGCAACATTATTTCTTGTTAAATATATGATCAAATTTGTCATGCTTGTACTTCAAAAAGCAAGTTGGTTTCTACATACAATATAAAAAACATTTTGCCTTTTTCAGCATTGTTCATTTGATCATATTTTTGCTTTTTTTGTGGGTGCTTGTGTTATAACATGATATACATCTATGGACATTCTGAGAATGTATTTAGGACGCATAAAGAGATAATTATGTAAGATTCTATACTTAAACCCTCATCCTTGCATGCATGCAAAGAAATCACTTAAATATGCTATTTTTTGTAACACTAATTCACTTGATTAACATTACTATACTTTTCTCCTCAAAATATGTTTTGGCTTACTTAACATGCTAAACTATCATATCATATATTCCCTCCGTCGTCCAAAAGAAGGCTTATAACTTTTTATCTCAAGTCAGATGGTCTAAAGTTTGACCAACTGAGTAGGGAAAAAACTATCAACAACGATTACCTTCGTCCAGAAATACTTATCGCTCAAACGAATGTATCTAGACATATTTCAGTGCTAGATACATCCATTTGAGCGACAACTATTTTTGGACGAAAGAAGTACAATACAAAAACTATAAGTCTGAATGAAGTAAGGTATAAATTAAGCCTAGCCAATTCTAGAAGGAGGATGCCTACATAATCCTAATTGAAAAACTACAAGTCTGGATGAAGTAAGGTATAAATATTACAAATAAGAGTATCTGTGATAGGTGTAACAACACGTTAATAGGTTACCTTTTTTGCATGGGTCATAAATTGTCATTTATAAACAAAAAACAACATGCATAAACTTCACACAACATCCTACATATGCGAATTTTCCAAATTTTTAGGAATTTCGCAGAAGCCATTTCCACATCACAAAATTAAGCTGGACAGGTGTAAAATACACCTAGATAGGATATACTCCTTTCGTTCCTAAATATTTGTCTTTTTAGGAATTTCAAATGGTTACCACATACGGATGTATATAGACATATTTTAGAGTGTAGATTCACTCATTTTGCTCCGTATGTAGTCACTTGTTGAAATCTCTAGAAAGACAAATATTTAGGAACGGAGGGAGTAGATTAGGATGTTAGAAGGGAGAAGGAGGTGAACTAGCCAGGCTGAGCTCACAAAAAAATATAGTCCAAAGCTGAACCTCACAAAAAACAGATAGTTCAGAGAGCTGAAAAGTGAACAATCTTATGTATACTACCTGTAATGTTAGTTGTTGCAAGTGAACTTATCTGCTGTTGGATTCGGACGCACCCGTGTGCGTACATACGTGTGGATGATGCAACGCAACATTACGCAATGAAGTTATAAGTGTATAGCTGCATCTGTAGCACATTAATACATGTACACCGCAATGCATGCCACTTGCTCTCCCACATACCTACATGATTAGGTGCCCACCCTCACTCTACTTACACTGCAACTCGTATTAAACCTACTCCTAATCTCTCTCTCTCTCTCTCTCTCTGTTCCAAAGTGTCCGCATGGTAGTTGCACTTTATGTTTTGTGGATGAGAGAGAGAGAGAGAGAGTTGGAGAGGAGCGAGAGAGAGGGCGAGTACTATATGGATATATGAGCTGTGGGGCACATGGAAGCTGGAGGGAGAAGCAGGGGCACATGGAGCATGGATGGACGGTGCAGTCCTGGCCCCCAACCGCCAACCATCAACGAGCATGCAACCGCCTTTAACCAAAACCATCCGCTTTCCAGCTAGCAAGCTCGAGCTACCCCAGCAAGCACAGAGAAAGAGTACAGATCCAGATAGAGAACCAATGGAGCACACTCACCCGTACATGTTGTAGGCCGCGGCAGGGACCCCTTGCTGGATGCCATGGTCGACGAAGCTGGCACCACCACCAGCAGCAGCAGCAATGGCAGCTTTCACTGCCCTCGTGTTGATGTTGCCTCCACCATGGACATGGCCTACTGCTGCATGCGGGGACGAAGAAGGGACATGGACAAGTCAATAAACAGCCAATAAGTTCATTGTGTACTTGCACGGATCGTGCTTCGTGCATATGGTGGCGTTAACTGGAATGAATTCAAGACAGATCAGCGTGCAGATGCAATGCAGTTTCTCCTTCTTTGGCACCTCCTGTTCATGGTTTACTACCATGATCGAACTAGTAAAGTTCAGATATGATCTATATATATATTATCGTTGTCAGACTGTAATTATTGGTCAAACTCAATTTAGGATGGTCAAACCGTGCCTCGCATAGATCAACGGAGGGATTGTTTTATAAAAAGTGCAGATTAAAAAGTGCAGATCCGGGACAGAGACAGACGCACCGAACTTTATTTACTACTCCTACGTTGGTGGATGTTGCAGCAAAGACCAGCTCCCAAGAATAACGAACCGTGCCTGCCTTTTACAGCTTTGCAGCAAAGCTATCTGGCTGGAGGGTCATGCATGCGCGGGCTACCTTTTCACCTCCGGTGAAAATCTGTCGGGCGCATGGATACTAGTACTACTAACGGTCTTGTGCATGTACTATGTTCCTTGCATAATTCGATCTCAACTTGCATTATCCATGGCCCTTAACCTAGGCAGAAATTCCTTGTTTACTCTACTGTGGCATCATTGATTGATTAGTCTGTCAGAATCCTCCCTAGCTGTACAATTTGTTTTGGTCGACTCTGACAAGTCTAACATATGCATACTCCTTTGACCACCGTTACTGATCCCTACGCAAGTCGTTTCACTCTATGCCACAAATAATAAGTGATATTTTAGGTATTGGCATGGTCATTAAGGTGTAGATTTGACTACTGAATATATGAATAAAGAATGACAAAAGTATATTATTCTATAAAATTACTTTATGAGATAAACCTATACATATGATTATTGAATTTTCATTCTGAATAATTCAAATGATAATTGCAATCAATGTGGACTCTCAAGGCATGCCCAAAACATCACTTTTTTTTTGTTATATATATATGAATGGAGCATATGTTTTGTGCTCCCGCAAAAAAGAAAAGAAAAGGGATCAAGTATATATATTTTTTCGAAAAGGGGGACACCCCGGCCTCTGCATCAAGTATATGTTAGTAAAAGAATTATATTCTAGAAGTATTTTTATAACAAATAATAACATATTGTTTTCACATTATCATTCTGAATGGTTTTTGATGTATTTTATTAGCAAAAGGTTACACAAGTGTTAAGTTAATAATCACCAAGAATTAGCATCTCCTTGCAGATTGTTCCAGAGTGACATGAGAATCAAATCCGATTTTGTTCTAGATTGACTCTAAGCAAAACAAACATATTTTTCTAAAAGTGTAATCTCAACAGTTAAACACATCAGGAAGGCCATTAGGCATGCACGTAGCTTAATTAGTCCTACCAAATCTATAACACTAGTAGTCTCCTGGCAAGGCACCTAATCATGCATTAGCATAAAATGATGCATGTGCATCCTTAACCTTACATCTCTAACTAAAATGCTGAACTGGACAGGAACTTTGCATCGTCTGTCACTGGCCATCTACAATTCGACATGCATGATTAATTAAGTTGGCAGATCTTAACTTGCAAACACCAAACAGATATATGTGTGTGGCATGCACGCACATACGACTAATAATCAAGCGAAGACGTGCAAGGTGCTTAACCAATTATAATTCAGCAAATTGCAAGTTAATTAATGCATCTGACTAATTAATTGACAGATCTTAGCTTGAAAACAGCATATATGTATATGTGTAACATGCAAGCACATCTAGCTAGATTTATTGCTCATGGTCAACGACTAACAGTCAAACTAAGACGTGCATGGCGCTCAGTTCTCACTAACTAATTAGCATAATTCAGTAAATTTTAAGTGAATCAAAGCATCGAACTACTTAATTACCAGCATATGGTTGCAGATAAGGCAGTGTTTGTGGCGCCTTGGACCTCTGGACCCCGAGACAGGCGAGGTTACAGTTGGCCCTCCTGCCGTCAATCACCGGGTACGGATCCAAGCACGCCCTCATGGCCGCTTCCGCCTCCCGGAAGGTAACCTGCCAAGCATCCATCCAGACATAGCATCAATTATCGGAGCTCAATTCAGCAAGAGAATTAACTGCTGAAGATGGATATGATGAGGGGATGAGAGAATTGTTTGGGTGGGTAGGGTACTCACGAATCCGTAGCCCTTGGATCTGCCGGTGCCCTTGTCGGCGATGACGACGGCCTCGAGGATCTCGCCGAAGCGCTCGAAGTGGCCGCGCACGCCCTCCTTGCTCGTCTCCCACGCCAGGCCCCCCACGAACAGCTTGGTCAGCCTCGTGTCGCCGCCGGCGGCCGCCGCCTGATGAGCCATGGACATCCTCTTCTCCTCCTTCTTCTTCTGGCTCTAGCTCTGGGCGGCCTCTCCTGATCTCGTGATCTCTCTCTGGCTGGCTAGTGTCTGTCCACCAACCGAGAGAGGAACTAATAACTAACCTGGCACCCGGCGTCTGTGTGTGCTTTGGGGGACGTCAAGAAAGCGCGAGGTGAGGTGCGATCGAGGCTTGATGTGCAAGGGATCCGAGGAAAGGAAAGCTTGCACCAACAACCCTAGCTAGCTGCTAGCCTGGATGCCTGTGTTCGCCTAATAAGGCCCTCTAGAGAGAGAGACGGATTGGGGATTGGGAGGAGAGAGAGAGGGGAGGAAAGAGAAGGAACGAGAGAGGGGAAAAGAAAGCGAAAGTTAGCCGGCAAAGGGAAAGAAAGAGGACTCGAGGAGGTGTAGGGGTGGGACCTTCCTTGCATGTTCCACTTCCCGTCCATGCATGCATTTGTATGTATGTATGTATGTATGTATGTATGTATGTATGTATAAATGATGGCGTGGTGGAGACTAAACATGTATGTTTTGAAAGTACTTTATGTTAAAAATAAAAGTATTTTTCAATGCAAAAATTCACAAGTGTGCTTTTCCAAGCATTTAAATTAGCTAAATATATTCAAAAGACAACTGTAGTTAGTCAAAAATTTCTCTATCGTCCAAAGTGACAGCTTTAACATGACCAGGCTGAGTACACAATGTTTTAGACATGGGCACGGACGCACGGTCTCCAAGAATAAACCCTTTCGGAACAATCACAATGGTGATTCTATTTTTCGTGGGTGCACCTGGGGTGCACCGAGGTGGGGTGCGGAAAAACCACTCTCTTCTATTTTTATCCGACCACTCAAGTCTTCCTGAATTATTATGTTAGTGTTTTGGGTATAATCGGTGACGCTCTAATTACCCACATCCATGAATCAAACTACTTGTCCTAACGAATTTGGTGAAAAACGATTGCAGTTATATTATGCTTCCTTTTGTCACAAATATATTTATTATGAAGTTGTTTTATCTTTGTCGGTGATCTTGAGACTAGCACCACCGAGCAACGACACATTTGTTTAGAGGGGGTGCGAGCAGCAGATGAAGATGGTAAGACACGAGACATGGGATTTACCCATGTCCAGGCTCTTCGGGGGAAGGTAAGACCTGGCCTACTCCTGCATTTGGTGGTTGTATTGCTCGAGTGCTCATCGACAATTGGAAGGATCACCGGAGAGATCGGTTTCTTGGGTTACCAGCTCTCGGCCTAGCGGACCAAAGAAGAGGGTGGTATGTGAGAACCCTATCTCTAGGATGATCTAGAATATGTTTGATCCCGAGGAAGATCGCTAACTTGCCTTATATACCCGACTGAGCTAGGGTTATACGGATCAGGTCGGATCACAGGTAGGCTCACGCCCTTTGGTCCCGTCTGACCATGCATGCCTGGCGACTTGTGAGGGTAAGTGTCGATCCCGTTGCTCGGCTGACATGTCCAAATGTAATATCCTTGTCAAGGTTGAATGCCAAGGCCGGGAGAAGAGAGCTTGAAAGATTAAATGTGATCATTGAGATAGAATTCTTAATTGTTACACCATAGCTTTGGTAATATTTATTATATGTGATTTGGGCAAAATAATGATTTGGATGATGATTATTTTGCCATAATGGTAGTGTAGGTGTAATGAGAACCCCCAAATGATCACACCCATCTATGAAAATGACACAACGAAAGCAATGTATCAATGGAAAGGAACCAAAATCCATATGGAAAAAAGAATTGTAAATCGACCCATCTTATCAAAAGAGAAAGTATGGGAAAACTGTTGTTGAGTGGGAGAGCGATACACGAACCTTCTTTGAGATGACAGCTACACATACTAACGACTTGACTTTAATTAATGTGTCTATAGGTTTAACGATTATCACTCCCTACTCTCATTACGTATCATATGTACCTATTTGTACTTTTGTGGGTTTTTTGTTGTTGCGGGAACTGTAGTTTTCTGGTTGACCCTTATGAAGTAGTGGACAAACACATTCTTGTGAAATTTGTTTTGTTAAGAAGACACCTTTTTTGTTTGGTGTGTATTTCACTTCGCGTTAGATATATGTGTGTGTTGATATTTTATTTTGTTTGCTAAATGATTTTGCATCCACATATGTTATCATTACGCCTATGAATGGTGGATTAGACAATAGTATATCTACCTGTCAAAGTATATGTGTATAGGCCATGCATGGCCCATGGGGCAAACATGCTAATTGTAGCTTCAGCTTTGGTCGCACCAAACTCGTCGTCAACAATGGCTTTTCAGGTATAGAAGAATATTTGTGGGGTTCCCTGTTCGCAAAATAAGATAGCAATGAAATATTGCGTAAGAAGACAACCAACCCAAATTAATAATAACTTTTCTTCTCAAAATTCAATTGATTCATGTATGTTCCAGCTCTTGTTCTCATCATTCTCGTGATGACTTTGCTCTGGTGAGCCAATATATTCAAAGAAAAAAATAAAAAATAAACTTTGAATTTTTGAACAATATATAAGATAAAAATGGATGTGATATATGCACATGCTACAAAATTTATACTACACATGAGTAACAAAAGGACAATTAATTGTGCGGATCTTAAAATAGCAAACAATACATGTGTATTGTCTGCTCTTAAAAGTCCACATTTTATCTGGATGCATGAGAGAGAGAGAGAGAGAGAGAGAGGGGGAGAGAGAGAGATTGGGGATAGGAAGGAGAGAGGGGAAGGGAGGGAAGGATATGAAAATGAAAGTTAGCCCGAAAACGGGAAAGAGAGAGGACTAGAGGAGGTGGGGGTACGACCTTCCTTGTATTTTACTATGGTGTATGCACATATTCCCAGTGTTTGTAGGTAAATACTTTCTCAGGTCATCTAAAACACATATATAGGTAGTTCAAAAGATGTCGTGGTGGACACTAAACATGTACGTTTTGAAAGTACTTTTCAACACAAATTCAGAAGTGTGGTTTTCTAAGTATTTATATTAACTAAATGTTTGAGAGACCTTTTTAGTAAGAATTATCTATCATCCAAAGTGACAGCTTTAACATGACCAGGTTGAGTACACGATGTTTTTGATATGGGTATGGTCTCCAGGAATCAAACCTTTCATAACAAATACAATGGTGATTCCATTTTTATACGACCATTCCAAATATTCTTGAATTATTATGTAAGTAATTTGGGTATAATCAGTGACTCTCTAATTACACCCATCCATCCATGAAACTACTTGTCCGGAGGAATTAGGTGCGAAAAGATTGCAATTATTATGCTTGCTTTTCGTATGAGTATTTATTATGAAGCGCTAGCAGGTTGCATGCCAATGTTGGGAAGAAGAGGGCTTGAAATATGAAACGTGGTCAGTGAGATGAATTCTCAATTGTTATGCAATAGCTTTTGAATTAATAATTACACAATTTGGGTAAACTATGTCATGTGTGCTTAATTATGTAACCATAATGAATAGTTTAGTGTAATGAGAACCCCAAAATGACAACATCCATCTATGAAAACGACACCAAGAAAGTAATATATCAGCAGAAAGCAATAAAAAACCATAAGGAGAAAAATAATTGCAAATCATCGATCTTATCAAAGAAAGTATGGGAAAATTATTGCTGAGTGGGAGAACAATACATGAACCTTCTTTGAGATGACAGCTACCCATACTAACAACTGCTTGACTTTTATTAGTGTGTTGATAGGTTTAATTATTGTGTCTCCCTACTCTCATTATGTATCATATGCAGCTCTTTTGTACTTTTGTAGTTGACCAATGCGAAGTAGTGGACGGACACATTCTTCTTAATTTCATTTTGTTAAGAAGAAAGTTGTCTTCTTTTGTTTTGGTGTGTATTTCACTTTGGTTTGGGTATATGTGTGTTGACTTTTGATTCTGTTTATTAAATTATTTTGCATCCACATATATAATCATTAAGCATATGAATGGTGGATTAGACAATAATATATGTACCTGAAAAGCATATTTGTGTATGGGACAGGTGGACCATGGTGCAAACATGCTAATTGTAGTTTCAACTTTTGTCTCACCAACTTGTCGTCAACAATGGCTTTTATCAGAATATTCAGTGAAACATTTCGCAAGAAGAGAACCGACGGAAATTAATAATATATTCCTTTCCAAAAGCCTATCGGTTCACGTGTGTTACAGCTTGTTCTCGTCAGAAACTCTCTTAGGAGACAACGTTACAACCCATAATGACGTGGCTCTAGTGAGCCTGGATTTAAAATGTAAACATTTTTAAAAGACATATAAACATGGATGTGATCTATGCACGTGCTACAAATCGGTATGTCATGCAAGTTTTTATACATGAGTACACAAAAAAGACAATTATGTGGATCTTAAAATAGCAGACTGTACATGTATTGTATGCTATTAAATATCCTCAAATTTATCCTTTTTATAGAACATATTAAACGTATCTCTTAATGAATTTTTGCTCACATATACAGTTATTTTCAGATTTGTTCAAGACTTTTAAATGTTAAAAAAAGGCAAATTTTAACATGCTCTCTCTTACCCCCTCTTACATGTGAGGTAAGGAGGTAAGAGCTAATCAGACCACTAATTAATGAGATTAACGGTTCAGATCTATTATGTATTCTTGCCTCTCATGTGAAAAGAGGGGGTAAGAGGAGCATTTTAAAACTGCTAAGAAAATATACTTTCAAATTACAGGTACACTGGAGCTTGAACTCCAAATCAGAGCACTCAGCGGTCCAACTAACATTAAGCTAGAAAACTAGAAAAAAAACATGAGAGACGAGGTGGATAGGATTGGTACATCTTCTAATAGATGGGCATGTTGTTGCCGAGTGAGAGAGCAGTGCATGAACATTCTTTGAGATGACAGCTACCCGCACTAACTACTTGGTTTTAATTAGCGTGTTGATAGTTTAACTATTGCTCTCTAATGTGGCTACATATCAAATATATCTCCTCCCCACGA